CCTACTTCTTTCGTCTGACTATGTTGGCAGGTCTTAATAAGGGCGTCCGTCTAGCTGCTCTGCAACGATAACCCGTTGAACAGATTTCGGGCTCATCCCACCAACTTTGGCTACTTCTGCAGTCGTTAATCTGGGACCCATTTCGATGCTCCTCTTGACAGCCCTTTTTGTCCTCTCCGATGGACCAGGACGACTCGGACGTTGCTCAGTTGTTTCCTTGCCGTGTTTCCTGAACTGTACGATGATTCTGTTGACTGTCGAAAGCGGGATTCCCAAATTCTGCGAAATTTGCCGCTGATTTATTCCACCATCTGCTTGACCAACTATCCTTCCTCTAACAAAATCTGACAATTCGAGAGAACTTTGAGTTTTAGGCATGTTGTAGCTCTGTGCATGTATATAGTGCTCTGTGAGCACAAATTAGTTAGCATAAATCAGTTAAATGACGAAAAATTAGGTGTCTATTTACTTGTGACCACTCAGTGTACATCCTGATAAGGGCTGAAAGGTAGTTGCTGGGAAAATTTATGCAAAATGTGTAAACTCATTGACGCAAAATGTGAGCTAATCCATAGAATCCAATATTTTATGAATGAGTGGTTTAAGATTAACCCTTAACTCAAAGTCATACTTGCATTTCACTAATTGTTTTTATTTCTTTTGTTATAATAATTGATTATAATCTCATTAACCTTGCAAGAACGCGAAAATGATCCTGTTATGACATATTACTTATTACGGCAGGACTTAAAAAAAAGGCATTGTGGTACGCTCATCTTGCATCACTCTATATAGGTAATGCAAAATCCTGATGTTAATACATGTTAAGCCGATTGTCTATCGTTACGTGTGGTTTGTTTTGAATTTCGCGCAAAGCTACACAAGGCCTAACTGCGCTAGCCGTTCCTAATTTAGCAGTGATAGACTAGAGGGAAGGAAGCTAGTCAACATCACCCACCGCCAACTCTTGGGGTTGACCGTCATTTTACAACGTCATTACGCTTTATAGAGCGATCCTGTTCAGTATGACAGGGATTAAAACCCACAAATAGCGAGTCGAGTGCTCTAACCACCGGACCATGCATTACATGTGAAAATAGAGGAGGAAAATATATAAATAAGTCCAAAACTTAGGTGGTTAGGGTGCTTGACTCGCATTCTGAGGGTCGTGAGTTCGAATCCCCGTCGCACCAAACATGCTCGCCCTTTCAGCCGTGGGGGCGTTATAAAGTGATTTTTGAAATCTGTAAGACTTTAAGGTTGTCTATTAAGGATTTTTGCAATCTGTACGACTTTAAGGTTGTCTATTAAGGATTTTTGAAATCTGTACAACTTTAAGGTTGTCTATTAAGGATTTTTGCAATCTGTACGACTTTAAGGTTGTCTATTAAGGATTTTTGCAATCTGTGCGACTTTAAGGTTGTCTATTAAGCATTTTTGAAATCTTTATAACTTTAAGATTGTCTATTAAGGATTTTTGAAATCTGTAAGACTTTAAGTTGTCTATTAAACATTTTTTAAATCTGTACGACTTCAAGGTTGTCTATTAAGGATGTTTGAAATCTTTATAGCTTTAAGGTTGTCTATTAAGGATTTTTGAAATGTCTACGACTCTAAGGTTGTCTATTAAAGATTTTTGAAATCTGTACGATTTAAGGTTGTCTATTAAGGATTTTTGAAATCTGTACGATTTAAGGTTGTCTATTAAGGATTTCTGAAATCTTTACGACTTTAAGGTTGTCTATTAAGGTTTTTGAAATCTCTACGACTTTAAGGTTGTCTATTAAGGATTTTTGAAATGTCTACGACTTTAAGGTTTTTTATTAAGGATTTTTGAAATATTTACACCATTAAGGTTGTCTATTAAAGATTTTTGAAATCTGTACGAATTAAGGTTGTCTATTAAGGATTTTTGAAATCTGTACGATTTAAGGTTGTCTATTAAGGATTTTTGAAATCTGTACGCCTTTAAGGTTGTCTATTAAGGTTTCTTGAAATATCTACGACTTTAAGGTTGTCTATTAAGATGATTCTAGGACTAGTAGTTTCGTAAACTCTTGACTATTTAGACGAAAGCTTTTTTTCTCAAACTCGCTCTGTCATGATGAACAACATTCATGTGGGTTACTTAGAAGAAGCATTACTTTAAACGTTTAAGAAACCTGCTATTAACAAAAATATTATCATTCCGATAACTTGTTTGTTTTGTTTTAGCGCAACATACATAACGGGCTATTTACTCCCTGTCCATCAGAAGGAATCGAACTTTGGATTTTAGCGTTATAAGTTTGTGAATTTACCACTGTCTCACTGGGAGCCGTTTCGAAGGTAATTCTGTTTTTTTTTCTTTTACTAAAACAAAACTAATCAAAATATTTCCTTTAAAAATCGTAGACACTAATAAAAGGTAAATGTTATAAAACAGCCTATTAAACGTTAAGATATTGATTATTTTCATTATAATACATTTTATATTTGTGGCAAATATACTAAGGTTATCTATCGCCGCCGCTGATTTTGAACTACTGACCAACGGATAAGCAGCCTATCAGTATCACACTTCCATCCATGCTAAGGAATTTACTTTTACTCTTATAACGCACCTATGGCTATAATGTGCAAGGAATTGAATGTAGCTTGCCAGCTCTTACATCTACAGCTCTCCCACAGGGCGAATCCTTGCCCCATGATATTAAATATCGTCATTCAACGTTTTTCGAACATTAAAAGAGTTAAAGTTTTAGTTTCTTTACGTGTACTTTTCGAGATTTAAAATGAATAAGGAAGCTTTATATAGATATCAGAAGTTTATATATTTTGTTCAGCATAAACATCATTAGTTCACTTAGTTCTCTCCTAAACGTCTTCCAATTGATTAGATAAGAATGTTTTACTGCACAAAAATATCTTCACTCCTAAACAACTGATCTTACCTTCCACGGAGGAGACAGAGGTCGCCTGATGGCCTTGTAACGATCTAGGGCAATGGTCACTATCAAGTAATTGGAAACGCAGATAGAGAAAGTCTGTAAAAACTTAACCAGCCGGCACATGGCATCACCTGCCCGCCATTCTCGCCCATAATATTCCCAGACCAGCTGAGGACCAGTGGCACATACTGTTACCAATACGTCCGCTATTGTCAGGTTCAGGAAGAGACGCAGGACACGTGACTTTCTGCTCCGGTGGTTCCAGATCCAAAAGAGTACGAATGAGTTCCCCAGGGCCCCCAAAACAGCCAAAATCCAGAGCGTGGTGACCCGGACATCTTTGATAACTGGCTGGTCATACAAATTCTGATGGTGCCCGATGTCGGTGCTGTTGTTAACGATTTGGTCGTTTTCAGCATCTTTGAGGTTCATAGATTTATTGCACCTTTCCATAACTATTCAGTTGAGGATGAGTCGGGTCAAAAACTCTGGGTTGATAATCAGTGCAGGTGTGTCTGTCATATAGGGCGACTGTTTCTGAAATCTATATGGCTTTAAGGTTAAAAAAAAAGAGATTTTATTGATATAGATTTCTCATGTAATAAGATGAACCGCACTAGCCTAGTTAACAGCAGTCTGGTTGTACGTAGTAGAAACGCTCTTTCTCTTCCCCTTAGCGATTGGAACAGCTGAGCAAGCGCAGTACGAGCAGTCGGTATTTGTGAAATTTGAACTCTAAAAGGAGATGATTAGTTTACCTTGCTGTAAAATCTTATATTTCTTCCGATGGTCATCTAGTAATAATAATCCCAAACCAAACATTTGTTCTTAATTCTTTCTGTTGTTTTTCTTCAACGCAATTCTCTAAATTCTCAATTTAAATTAACCGGACAGAAAATCAAAATATAACTGCATTATTTTACGTGTGAAGGTAATGAATTTCGGGAACATACACCATGTAAAATGCTGGTTTAAACCCAGATTTTAGAAACAAACAGGTTTCTTAGAGTGAAATACTTTCGAGTTCGATATAAAAAAAAAAAAAACACTTGGTCGCTCAAATTTTCCAAATTTCACTCTTGCTGTTGATATGAAAAGCCCGGCATGGCCGGGTGGTTAGGGCGCTTAACTTGGAATCTGTGGGTCGCGGGTTCGAATCCCCGTGACACCAAACATGCTTGACTTTTCAGTCGTGAGGGCGTTATAATGTTACGATCAGTCCCACTATTCGTTGGTAAAAGAGTAGCCAAAGAGTTGGCAGTGGATGGTGATCACTAGCTGCCTTCCCTCTAGTCTTACACTGCTAAATTAGGGACGGCTTGGGCAGATAGCCCTCTTGTAGCTTTGCGCGAAATTCTAAACAAACAAGCAAACAAATAATCCTCTTTCTCAATATACATATGCGTCTAGTTCGGGTTAGTGATAGAAAAATGTTCTGTTTACAATTCAACAACAAAATGAAAATATAGCCTGCTTTATGTTAGAACATTTTTGACAAAAACAGCTATGACAGTTATTTTCAAGCAAATAAAACATCAAAAGTTAATACAGCTTATCAGTAAGTTACTGCAATAGATAAAATCTTCAAATATTTCGATTTCATTAAAGATATATTTAAAATTAGATCGGTAAATCTGCTTTTCTGATTTAAAAGTTTGTGATGTATAGAACAAAATTTAAGATCAAACACAACCGGGAGTGGTCAGAAGGTTTTCTTATTCTCTTTTATAAGCTTGCTACAATCCGAGTTTCTTGACTTTATAGTAACGCCAGAAGACGCTGGATTGTAATATTTCGTAGCTTGTTACAACAAGGATTTGGTAGAAATGTTTAATCAGTCACCAACGGTAAATAGTGAACGATTTCTGTGAATAATTATGTACATATTGTATAAAGCTTTTTTTTTATGCTGATCACTACCATAAGTCATTCTTCTAACGACACAATTCTACATATTAGAGTCGTTAACAGCTCAAAATAGTAGAATTATATCACGTTTGAGTCATTAGAATACGTATTCCTTATATTCATACCTGTTGGAACTGGTTTGAAAGAAACAGATTTTAATTACTTAAATAATTATTAGAAATAAATAATAACTGCTGCAAATAACAATTTTCATGAGTACAAAATACATTTTTTGTTTCTCCAAAATATAAAATTTGTTCTTCACGAACAAAGTAATAACTTTTGATAACTAAGAATTGGATTAAACGTAATTAGTTATTAGAAGCTAAGTTTAGGTTAATTAAAGTTTTCCGTGCCATGTTTTATAGCTTAGCTAATATAATTATCCACTAATATCCCGACTGGATTTGAAACATTAAGCCGAAATGTTTTGAACGCTACTCGTTCACAATTCCATTTTAAATTATAACTTTTTTACAAAAACAATACGTATACACTAAAAATTGAAACAATTTAATTATACCTCCAATTATACATGAACGGTTTTAATTCGCCTGGAAACGAGAAAAATTGAATTTCAAAGGATCTGCACTATTATTCTGTTTGTTTGTATGTACGACCGTTACGCTTTCTGACCGAGAACCTGCTGCGTAAGCATGCGTAGTTGGAAT